GTATGTCACACTAATTCTTTCTACTTAACGTCACTTTATCTGTTATAATGTCCCGATATATTTATGTGATCCACAGATTGATTTATAGAAATGTCCCCATAACGGTTTGCGGCCTCGTATTTTTTTTTATGTCTTTCTGTCTGTCTCGACGTTATGTATTGCAATTTTTAATATGTGGATTATATGTATGTATATATATATATATATATATTTTAAAAGGCCTTTCACATTTGTTTTGATAAAATAATGAAAAAATTTTTTTTGAGTGTTTGGATCTAATCAATTAAGGCTTTAGCATAAGATTTTTATTTCTGAATTCTGTAGATGGATTTCTTATTTTAAAGGAAGTGTTTTAAATTGTCATTGCGTCCATTATTATTTATTATGTACTAATTTCTTTCTAATATTAAAAAAAAAAACCCTGAAACGTAGAAGTTTAAGGTCATCGTTAATGAATAAACTAATATAAAAGTAGTTATTATAACAGTAATTATTCTTAAAATTAAGACTGCGTAGTGATTTTTTTATTTTCAATGAAATACTTAAGTAAATTGATTCTAATTATACTCAAATTTCTACTAAATTTAATTATTATTATTAATAATTTCTCATAAATACAAGATATTTACATAAAATTGCATAATAATAAAGTTAATACATTTATAAACTTTTTTATTTCATTATTAGCCTATGATCTCCCATTGTTGGGCAAAATTTTCTCCTTACTCCTTTCATAATTTCCTGTTCTGCACCACCTTAAACCAGATCCAATTAAATGCGTTTAGGTCATTACGCCGTCGCTTCCTGAGCTGGCTTCGGTGATGCTGTCCATTATTATGCACCCACTGGGTGGAAATCTTTGCCCACTTTTTTTTATACAATTTAGAATGGCAAACAAGCTGACGGCCCACCTGATGGAAAGTGGTAACCGTCGCCTATAGACATGAGCAGTACCATGGACATAACAGAGTATACTGTTTCGCCCATGATACCCCCCGTGCGCTGCCATTCCTGAGGACTCAGGTGTTATTCCTCTGTACCCAGTAAATTCACGCCATATCCCACCCTTCAAACCGAAACACAGCCATGCAAACACAACTGCTTCACGGTTGAAACACGAATGGGACAGAGGTACCCAAGCAATCGACTTTTGTACAAAGTCTCCCTCTGGTAAGAGGATACCTATCGGGATCCATCGGCTAGTTGACCCGCACAATTCCCTTTAAGATGAGCACTTAAGTTTAAAATGTACATTAATATATTAAGAAGTAATCATAAGTTTTTAGAAAAAAAGTAATATGTAAAGTTGAATACATTTGTTGTTGTTGTAATAGACTTTATAAGACGGTTTTAGTTGGATTTTTTTATTTTGCCCTGCATGTAGTATGCAATATCTTAGTTACTTTTGATCCAATTTTGATCTTTTTCAACGTAAGGTTAACTTAAAGCTCATTGGGCGATTATTGGGTGGGTTATGAGTTCTCTTCTGTGGACTGTCCATAATTATTATGTGATTTCATTTGTTTTAATTATTTTATAAATACACCAGTAAAATAATTGTTTTTCTTTTGATTGACTAGTAGAAAAAGGTATATATATGAAGTATACGTAGTGTGCACATGCTTCTTTTTGAAGTTGGTCGAAAAGGCTCGGAAAGAAACATTTTTATTTATTTTTATTACTGATGGTCAACCCAGAGGAAGCGTTTTAAGTATACAAATTGTATCATTTAGTTTAGATTTATGTAGATTAGGTATACATTTCTAATTATGATAATGTTGTTCAACATAGTTTAAATATATTATCATATTATAATTTTTTCTTCCTAAATAAATATAAAATAAAATTAAACTAATAAAAGCATATAAAGCATTAATTATATTGTAGAAGATATAATATTTTATCTTATATAAAAATTGTCCTATATTTCACACAATAAAGATACGTGTCGGATAATGGGTTATAATATAAAATATATGAGTCATTAATATATTTAAATTATCATCAGAGGTGTTTATAAATTATGTAGCTATATCAAAATATATCGTATAATAAATAATTGTAATAAAATTAGAAATGCAAATCAGAAAAACAAACAAGACTTTCTATTTCTGTTAGACAATTTTAGAAATATAAAAAAAGTGATAATGCAATTTTAGATATCTATATTATTATCATTTCAGACGTTTATTGTCCACTGCTGGGCATTGCCTTCCCCACAACGGGAGTTTTGCCAGGCATAGAATGGACCACACCTTCTTTTCCCGTAGGTATTATATAAAAGGCGATTAAGGGAATTTAATAGTCGAGGGAGTCTAACTGCGGTTGCTAACCCGCCTGCCAAGCGTGGCAAGTACTGGTAATCATTCATTAATTGGTAGTATCCATTACGAGGGAAGCTTATGTTCAGCAGTGGACAGTGAACGGCCGATAATGATGATGAGGTGGATCATGTATAGAAATAGTCGTTGTTAATATATATATATATATATAAATAAATAAATATATATAAATTTCCGTCCTACATATACACAATGTTAAAATTGAGCTACGTAGTTGTTTATGTTCAAAGGTTTAAGGTTCGATTCTTGATCGGTACAAATATATAATAGTGTACATATTTTGTATGTCCGTACCTTACAACATTAATACAGCATTGCTACATAGGCATTGTTCAATAGTTTACCTTGAGTTAAGTCTGAATACGGTTAGGGTATTATATACCTTGTGAATTATGGAGGTTTGATAGGAATTTTAACGTAACTTATTACTTAAAAGTACTGTTAGTATTCATTAACAAGATCTATTTTTTTTTTTTTTTATTTTCCTAAAAACTAAAAAATCATATTACAAAATATTCTTTTTTCAATTTAAGTGTTTCCTCTTGTCGGTGTAACTAATTCATGCATTCTCTTCCAGCCAGTTTTATTCTAGGCCATATCTTTGACCTTCCCATACGACATGACACCCAGTGTTTTCTTTATCAGTCCCATGTAGTTTTTTCTCGTTCTTATAAAATAATAAAAAAGAATTAAATTACTGAAAAAAGACCAATCTGTATCTATACCAACTACAATACTTAACAGTGGGTGTGTATATACAATATACTATTTTATAGGAAAAAAATCTGAGATTTTAATCAATTCTAATACAAATTTTAAGGATTTTGTTATACAACTTAGAATGGCAAACAAGCTGACGGCCCACCTGATGGAAAGTGGTAACCGTCGCCTATAGACATGAGCAGTACCATGGACATAACAGAATATACTGTTTCGCCTATAATACCCCCCATGCGTTGCTATTCCTGAGGACTCAAGTGTTATTCCTCTGTACCCAGTAAATTCACGCCATTCAAACCGAAACACAGCCATGCAAACACAACTGCTTCACAGTTGAAACACGAAACGTACCCAAGCAATCGACTTTTGTGCAAAGTCTCCCTCTAGTAAAATGGAATGGGTTACGTGGAATGGGCTACGTTAAGTAACATACTGTATATATGTATCTAATACTAGCACTCATACTGTATCTCTCAATTGTAATGTAGCGGACCTCGAGATATTTGCTGTATAGTGATATGTAAGAAGATTTTATCTTATTTATAAGTTTAAGTGAAACTAAATGGCTTAGTACTAAATGCAGCTTTACCTAGGGTTGCCACATTAATCTATACTAATTATCTATAAGGTACACTATAATAAAGTAAAATAAATTGTTGAATAGATTTATTTTTACAATAACTGTAATCGTTTTCCACAAAAGAAACCGTCTTTAATGGTGACAAAATCAGTTATTTTTATTTCAAATGTAAACTTTAGATAAAACAAAAATTTTTGAAATCGGTTTACAACTAACTGAGTTATGAGGTAACAAACATAAAAAAAAAATAGAACCGAATTGAGCCCATTTTTTGAAGTCGGTTAAAAATACTACTTAGATTTAAACAATATTTGCGTGCCAATGTTGTCTGTCTATTTCACCTCTAGCTTTTAAAAGAAATTAATTCCTAATTATGTAATTCAATGTCATGTGATTCAAATTCGTTAAAAACAACATAAGCTTTCTAAGTGTATACAAGATTATTAACATATAGGTGTGATAAAACATTTGGTTTTTTTTTTGGTATTTATCTATAAACTACTAGTCTATTCCCTCGTCTTTAGTCGTTTCACCAGGATTCAAATTAGGTATATGAAGCTATTTATATAAAATATAAATAAATTAAAATTAATTATAATGTACTTATACATATATGTATGTCAAATTTCCTGACGATTAATTCATCGTCAAGAGGTAACAAACAAACAAACTTATTTTCACATTTACTAATATTATTAGTAAGAATTAATACTGTACTTATAATCTCTTAGATTTTTTTTATACAACTTAGAATGGCAAACAAGCTGACGGCCCACCTGATGGAAAGTGGTACCCGTCGCCTATAGACATGAGCAGTACCATGGACATAACAGAGTATACTGTTTCGCACATGACACCCCCCATTCGTTGCCATTCCTGAGGACTCAGGTGTTATTCCTCTGTACCCAGTAAATTCATGCCACATCCCACCCTTCAAACTGAAACAATCATGCAAACACAACTGCTTCACGGTTGAAACACGAATGGGACAGAGGTACCCAAGCAATCGACTTTTGTACAAAGTCTCCCTCTGGTAAAAGTTTGGATACCGTCTTTTACCAACTCAACGATACACAAAAAAATAAGAAAATATAAATATTAATTTGAAAAATACTTTCTAAAAAAGAAAACATTTGGCAACCCTACTTGCACTATGCACGGACATGCAACTCTACATTCTATAGACCAATATGTACCTTTTAAGATAGAGGTCGTACCAGTAACTTTTGAGTTAGCATGCCCCCTAAAAGGCTGTCAACACCATAACTGCTATATGGATTGTTTGCTATTGTTTTTTACTGGTACACCGTACACAAGACAGGTGTGAGGGCGTATTGCTCAGCGCATGCGCATGCGCACCAGTCTCTAACATACCTGCGCGGGAGTCGGTCGCGCGGTCGCCGCTCGTCGAAAAAGACGCGAAAAAAGTTTTTTTTTCCACGGATCCCGATAATGTGTTAGTTACGCACTTTTTTCATTTGTAGTGTGAAGTGTTTGGTAACTGTGTAAAGAGTGATTTCCTATATTTTTTTTTCTGTGTACATAGGACGTTTGTCCAGTAGTTTAGAAAGATTTTCGTGTTTACGCTAAACAGTGGTTTTTCGTGTTGGAGATTACGCTCTTTTTTTTTCCTACAACGAGAATTTTTTTCCGTATTACAATTTTCGGTGAGTTGTCATTATGTATTTTTTTTAATAATTTGCTTTTAATTTGAGCGTGCGTTATTGTTATGGTGCTACAGTCACGATTTGTGTAAAGGCGCGTACACATACGAGAATAACTAGATAATATCTGGGTATTTTTTTTTATAAAAACCATTCTTTAAATTCAATTACTTGTGTCATTTCAAATATCAAATGTTATTGAATTTCTCCTTAACATTTTTCTTTGATGTAAGCAAACAAAAACTTTTTCTCTTTTCGATAGTTAGAAATGAGTCTAACTTTTTATTGTTATATTTTCACTACCAATTAGGTACGTGCCTGCTTTTAAATCGATTTCTAAACTATGTTTTGTAGAAACTAGAATGAAAATAAAGAATGATTATTATATTTTACGTAGGCCAACGTGGATCACAGTTAACTAATGAGGGAGGGTAGTAATTAGCATCTAGGTCTCCACATGGGTCTCCCTAGATACCATCGTTATCAATACCAAGTGAATTTGTTATGATATACTAATTAACATCCTTGCTTTTTGATGATGATTTTGATTGATGTCATCCTTTATTGCCACTTACATACTCATATTTATTCGAATAATACCGAATGCGCAAGTGGAGTTCCCATCACTTTTTCAGCTAATAAAAAACAGATAAATATTAGTAATTTCGTAAAATAAACATTTTTACATCTACAAGACATACCCCGCCTGCGCTATCGGTATACACTGGCGGGGCACCAGTAAGGGATGATAGGTGAGGAAAAGGCAGGTCAGTTAGCTTATCGTGATGAATACATCTGGAATTCAGCACGATGGTTTCCAGGAGGGACCGCGCAAAGATCAACCTGACAGGGTATATTACTAGCAATAGGACTGGTAGTCCACATAAGCCTATTCTATGCTGGGACCACACGGCAATTTATAACATTAGTATAGATTATATATATATATATATATAAGTATTATATTCTATAACAAATCTATTTAATATTAATATAATATTAGAATGAACATGACATCGAGTTCCCTTTAAGGTCGTAACGAAAACAATAAAGCAATAAATAAAAACCTTGAGAGACATCTTGCGGTAATAAATCTATCAAATCAATCAATAATCAGAATTAGAATTGTGGAACCCATAATGGGACGGATTAATATATTTATATGTACCTGGTCAATTAGAAAAAAAAAGTTCCGAGTAAAATAAATGTTTTACAATTAAATCTCTCGCTGGTCTCATTATAAACTATGTTAATCGATAAATTATTTAGTAAATGTTTTATTGAACTCACCAGAGGGAGACTTTGTACAAAAGTTGTTTACTTGGGCACCTCTGTCCCATTCGTGTTTCAACCGTGAAGCAGTTGTGTTTGCATGGCTGTGTTTCGGTTCGAAGGGTGAGATATGGCAGTGAATTTACAGGGTACAGAGGAATAATACCTGAGTCCTCAGGAATGGCAACGCATGGGGGGTATCATGAGCGAAACTGTACACTCTGTTATGTTCATAGTACTGTTTATGTCTATAGGCGACGGTTATCATTTTCCATCAGGTGGGACGTCAGCTTGTTTACCATTCTAAGTTGTATAAAAAAAACTAGGTGTTATCTTGCGAAAGTCCATGTCACTGGTTATTTAATTAAAATTATTTTGTTTAATTCCGCTACAATGTTTGTAGCCGTCACACACATTCTAATGTTAGCGGAATTAAACCAAATAATTCTAATTAAATAATTAGTAAAATTGTTTAGTTTCAAAACTAGAATTCCTATTTCCTTGTATTGTATAAATACAAACAGTTAAACAACCTTGACACGAGGTATGTCACGCATCAACAGTAAAATCACGAGTGTACTGATCTACCGAGAGAAATGATGTAAATTTGTTTAAATGCGTTATTTGTTTCGCATCAATATCATTATAATGTTATAGTTTAGTTTTTGATATAGTAAAGTCAGGCCGCATATAGAATACTGTTCTCACCTATGGGCAGGAGCGCCACAGTACCAACTCCTTCCGTTAGACCGCATTCAAAGTCGGGCGGCTCGAATTGTTGACGATTGGCGCATTACTGTCCGGCTCGACCCACTGAAACTGCGCAGAGATGTTGCATCTCTGTGTATCTTCTATCAAATTTATCATGGGGAGTGCTCTGAGGAATTGTTCGGATTGATACCTGCTGTTCATTTTCACCATCGTACAACCCGCCATAAACTAAAATTTCGTCCTAATCATCTGGACGAGTGGCGGTCCTCCACCGTGCGTTTTTCAAGGCACTTTCTTCCACCCACAACTACTCTATGGAATCAACTTCCAGCAGCAGTATTTCCGAACCGATACGACAACATAACCTTCAAGAAAAGAGCATACTCCTTTTTAAAAGGCCGGCAACGCACCTGCAATGCCGTTAGTGTTGCGGGTGGTCATGGGCGGCGGTAGTCACTTACCACCAGGTGAGCATGCTGGTTTGCCCCCTGTGATGTAAGAAAAATTGTATTGAGAACTCTATGAGCTCGTATTTACGTTTCTTAACGTATAAAAATCTGTTCATTAATCTTTGAGATCGTATTTACGCACATTTGTATGTTCGTATCACCATCGTCATGTCAGCCGTTAACTGATTACTGCTGATATATATAGGTCTCCCCCTATTAGGGAGTTTAGTCAGTAGTTGCCATGTGAAGTTGCCATAGTGAAGGGTGATAGATGAGAATGAAAACAGGCCAGTTAGCCCATCATGATGAATTCATCAGGAATTAACCATGATAGTTTCCAGGGGGAACCGCGAGGAGGTCGATTTGGTTGGGTATATTGCTAGCAATGGGATTCTCAGTCTACATTACTAACAATCCCTTTCCCCCCGGCAGTGGACAGTTAACGACTAATACAACATTGTATTAATTACCCCTATAATAAAGATTGTATTGTACTTTAAAATTTTAATTTACTAAAATAATATAATTTTATTTACATTCAACTACAGTCTTAGGAAATGCGGGTCACATACATGTGCTTTTATGTCTATGATCATCGTAGTGAATTTACTTAACTTTTTTTTAGTAACTATTAACTAAAAGTAGTCCTCAAATCGCCTGTTATTTTCTTACGCTATCATTTCTGGACGATTTTGAGACTTAACTTCATGGTTAAGAAAATTAAGACAAATATGAAAGGAATGTCATGTTAGTCCTATACTGTATTTTGTCACTGTAGATGTCGCTGTACACGATTCTTAAAAGGATTCATATCTTATACCGATAAAAGTATACAGGGTGTTAATTTATACTAACATCAACATCAATTTAGGGCAAATGTGAATAGGCTATTCGTGGGCCCACGAGTCCCATCTTAGATCACATAATTTATTTATTTATTTATTTATTTACATAATTGTTTTCTATCAGGTGAGACCGTGATCAATCGTGGGACCCTTTAATAGTAAAAAGTTAAAAATTTTGTTTGTTTGTATGTCAGTCGGATTTAAAAAATTAACAGGTGAAGCCTCAAGATTCAGCTTGTATTTGATACAACCTCAGTGCGAGATAGTTTTTCCTATCCCACTAATAATAAAATGTGAGAGTCTGAAAAAGTTTGGATATTTGTTATTCAATCACACTGGACAGCTGTTAATGTATAAATATAATATATAATGTATTGTTAAAATATTAAAGTGTTCTTCCAACAAATTATTGATTGATTGCAAATTTTTAATACGGGCGAGATTTCAACCTGCATATGACACTTTTTTTTATACAACTTAGAATGGCAAACAAGCTGACGGCCCACCTGATGGAAAGTGGTAGCCGTCGCCTATAGACATGAGCAGTACCGTGGATATAACAGAGTATAATGTTTCGCCCATGATACCCCCCATGCATTGCCATTCCTGAGGACTCAGGTGTTATTCCTCTGTACCCAGTAAATTCACGCCATATCCCACCCTTCAAACCGAAACACAACTGCTTCACGGTAGAAACACGAATGGGACAGAGGTGTTCAAGCAATCGACTTTTGTACAAAGTCTCCACTATGCCGGGTCCAATGCTTTGAATGCATTTTAGTAAACATATAAAACATTTATTTATTCATTGATTTATTTATTTGTTCAATTGGGTGAGCTTTAACATGTCTGTATACGTTAAAACCTGTTTTAACAGTTGATTCATTGTGTTGGATTAATTAAAATTACAGTGTTTTTTTTTACGCATAATGGTGAACGCGTCCTTATGTTTAATGATAGCTCATAGCTCGTAGTTAGAGATCATTTAATTATACCACGGTTGGACTGAACCGGCATGTTTGTAGGTCGTTGTGTACCGACTTGTAATAGAGTAAAGAGTTTAGCCTTTTTGTACCGTCCTCTTACCGTTACCCTGGAATCCTTACGTTATTTTATCTTAAGACTGTATAACTCACCTTAACGATTTGCGTTTTTTATGATACTTAAAAAGGCCGTGTGGTCCCAGCGTAGAATAGGCCACCCCTTATTTTCTCGTGGGTGACGTAAGAGGCGACTAAGAGAGGACGAGAGATGGGCAGCAGCGTCCTTCTTAGAACATCTCTAGAGCCTATCTGCGGTTGCCAATCTGCATGTCAAGCGTGGCTACTACTGGCAGGGGGAGGCTTGTGTTAGGTAGTTGATAGTTAAAAGCTGATATGTTATGATGACACTGAAAATGACAAACAAACTGAAGCCCCAACTAATGGAACGTATTATTACGATTATTCGTCGATTACAGACATGAACAGTGTCGTAGATGTCAAAAAATTACTTTTATTGTATAAAAAATTATAATTTCTTTGAAGGTTAATTATTAAATTAAATCAAAATTATTTTTATCCAAATAAATTTGTTTACAATCGTTATTTTTATGAATCTACTGCAGGGTTCGGAAGGTTGTTATCTGTTGTGAAGAATCCGCAAGAAACTCAACAGTTACTATTTTAAATCTCTGTCAATATTATGCGTGTATGTATTTATTGTAATGTGCTATACTTAAAATTAC